CAGGCCCTGGGCTGGATACGGGTACCGGGCCAAGCACAGGCCGAAAGCAGTTGGGCACATGCAACCACTTCACGCCCAAGGCCTGCGTTCCTCGTGACTGGGCCTCAGGCTACCGGGGCCTACTGGAAGCTTCCTGGACTGGACGCAGGCAGGCCACTTCGATATAGGGAAGGGGCTGCCTCCTCATTCGGTATTCGGGTGCTGGCTGCATGCTGCGCAAGCGCTGCTGCTGCGCTATTTGCTGGCTGGCGCCTACGCTCTCACGGGCGAGCAGGGAAGGAGAACGCAGCCATAGCCAAGCTGCGCTGCTGTATCTGGGTGAAGCGCAGGGTGGTCCTTGGGTGCTAGTGGCATCTGTGAGTTGGGGAACGAGATTGTGAGGGTAGCGCAAGACATACCTGGTGCTGAAGCGTGCGACATTGGTCGCCATATGCTCGTACTTCGGGAACGCTGTTGATGTCATCATTCTGCTTCGTAGTATAGGCTAGATAGGATCTGCCGCATGTAGTCTGGGCGCCGAGTGCCAATAGGATATCAACTCTGGTTCTTCGCTGATGATGATGGGACTACTTCAGCATTGTCAATGATGAACTCTTGGTGTGTTCTTATTTGGTGTATCTCGTGATGCAATTCTGCGTTTGGTTCGAGGTCAAGACTATCTGGACTCATATGTATGATGCTGTTTGATTGTTGGAATTCGCTATCACTCATCTTCCTTGCATTTTGAATGAAAAAGAAAAAACTAATATAAAATAACAAACATTTTTTTTTTCGCGTGCGGCCAGGCAAGTGATCCCAGGCCACTCCGGTAGCCTAGTTTTTCCCTTTTTTTGCGATAATGTTGTCCGTGACCTTGACTAGGATTTCGTCCAGACCTGACCTCGCCGAGCTACCAGGACCAGGCGACCCAGTCAAGGTCAATTGCGAACTGGGCGGGCAATTGACGAAAGTTAATTGACTGCTTTCAACATGATTCCCCTGTGCAAATCTGCGTGAAAATCTGCGTGAGCTTTCAATTTGGAATGGTCCTGCATTGCCATGTTAATGATCAGCACCACAACAAGGAGGGCTATTGCAATGACGGTGAGGACAACCACGGTGACCTCCTTCTCCTTCCCCTCCCTTTCTTTGTTTCTGCTTCGCCTTCTTATCCTCTTTTTTTTTTCTTTTTTCTTTTTTTTAAGTAAGCTATATTCTTCTCTCATCTATCTCATATTCTTGGTAGTACGCATCTATCTCATCCTCTCACTAGTCTATTTATAGCACAGGGGAACACCAACCAACCCGGATCTCTCCCCAGCCCACGGGGTAGGTTTGCACCACAGCTGTGGTGCGAGAGCAAGGCTGTACCAGTCCCTCGTCACGGTGACGAGGGGTGGGCAGACATTGCCGATGGGGGAAATCGGCGGTGCTAGCGCCGAGCAATGGCCAGTCACTGCACCTCCCCCTACCCCCCCCCAACCCCCAACCCCGCATAGCGGTGTCTAATGACCAATATTGTCGCTGAATGGCAGCCAACAACATCAGCCAAGGTCCTGCCAACGCTGGCTTTGGGGGTCAACGGTTTATCTCTAGCTGGTAGAACACCAAGCTTGCCCAGGCACGTCCACGAGGCCAATTGTTTTGCTTCTCTTCCTTCTCTGTTTCACCTGACAAGACCTGCACGACTATCAATAGGACCACAGCCCCCTACTCCTCGCCCTAGCAAGTGTGCCACGCACGCACAGGAGAGAGAGAGAGAGAGAGAGAGAGAGAGAGAGAGAGAGAGAGAGAGAGAGAGAGAGAGAGAGAGAGAGAGAGAGAGAGAGAGAGAGAGGTCCTCAGGTGCACAACCTTGAAGCAGAATCTTCCTAGGTTGTCCCAGATTTTTGAAGGAAAAAGACTTACGTCCGGGCATCCCAGTTCCAGACACTTCTATTTTTTTTATCAGTGTTACCCAGGGGGGGTCCGAACGTTAGCGGGGGGGTTTGCACCTTCCCCCTGAGAGTTCGGAGTGCAGCCGAAACACCGCAGAGTCCTGAGTTCGGGGCCACCATCCCCAATTTGGAAGGTCCTTTTTTTTGTTGTTTCATCTTTTTTAGACAGAACACCTATTGAAGCTCCTACCTGTAACGTTGCATCTTATTTTATTGAGCAGAAAAAAAGGAAAAAAGAAAACAGAAGTTGGTGGGGGGATCAAATCCTTCGAGAACCGCCCCGTTTCTCATTTTGTTTTTCAAAGCTGCTGCTTTTTGGTTGCTACCATCGTCCCCCGAACACACAGCACCCCCCCTTCATGGGGGTACCTAGCCGGAAAGATAGTATACATTCGTCATCGGAGGGCATTATCTTCAGAGTAAGACAGCAGCACACTCCCACACACACACAACAACAATCATTTTCCGTGAATGCATATGTTTCCTCTTTCTTGATTTTTTTGTCCTGTGTTGCTAGGTAAGAACCTTGAAGTGCTAAATGGTCAGTGGTCGGCGGTTTGGAGTGCCGGGAGGACTCTTAGGGCCTCTGATGTCTGTTGTGCATACCGTCCATATGAGGGACGATAGACGTCCACCGGAGTGCCTTCCTCGCTCAGCCGGTGGGGGGAACCAACAGTCTGCAGGGTTCGCTCATGATGTGAGTAGGTGATGTGCCGATATGCTCCGTGTCGGATGTGCAAACTCTGCCTCGTCTACAGTCCGCCGGTGCCATGCTGCTTGCCCCACTCTTGCTTTACTTCTTGTTCTTCGCAAGCTGCGGTGCACACAGTGTGGCGTGTAGATTGGCTGCCTTGTTCGCATTGCCTTGTGCTGCACTGTCCAGTTGCCGTGCTGCGTGTCCGTCCACTTACCCTGTCGCCCATGCAGTTGTTTTGGGGCTGTGCAGTCGTGTTGCCTCGACACCGTCGCCTGGTGCTTCGCCGGATGAACACCCGCTGCTGTGCTCCGTATAGGGACAGTCTGCCTTCAACAAGGGTCAACGGGTTCATGACCCCAACCATCCCAAATACGGACATTTTTCGCTGTTCCTTTTTTTTTTTTTTTTTTTTTTTTTTTTTTCCCTTCTAGCTCTTTTTGTCCGTTTCTTTGTTTCTTTGCCTTGCCGATTCTTGGCTTGTTGTTTTTTTTTTTGCTGCCTGGTGCTGTTTGTCTTCCCACTCGCCTCCCTCGCGCCCTCCAGGCTATGTTCCTTGCTGCGGCTGAAGTGTCCAATACTGCCCCTTGGCTTTTTCCTTTCCTTTGCTGCCGACTGCTGTTTTTGTCTGCCGCTCACCTCGCCCTCTCCCCTTCCCCCTTTGTTCTTTGCTGCTGCTTGTTGTCCATCGCCTTGTCGCTTCCTGACCTTTGGCTTGCCATTTTTTAGCCTTGCTGCCGTTTAGCTTGGTTTTTGCGTGATGGTTCTTTTTGCTCAGTGACCTTTCAAAGCTGGACATTATCAGCATCATTCGCTTCATGGGCATGCCGACCTACGGGCTCCTTTCCATGAGCTGTTTATAAGCACACCTCTTGTCGCACCATGCCACAGCACGGTCACAGAAGTCTTGTGCACACACACATGGCAGGAGAAAATGCACATGCACATGCACATGCACTCATGCATGCATGTGTGTGTGTGTGTGTGTGTGTGTGTGTGTGTGTGTGTGTG